CAATTGTTGCTGCCTATAGCGTGTAATGTAAGTATACCTGAGTGTTTGTCCTCCACAACTTGGAGTTACATCTGATGATGATGTGGAACATTTCAGACTTCATGTACGCCAAAAAAGTATATATATACTTTTTTCTTTTATTTTATTCAACTTTGAAAATTTTAAAGACCCTCCAGATCAAGCAGCTGAAGATGATGACTTGTTTTCAGTCAAACTTAGACGTTTGGCTCAGTTAGAAATGGAGGATTTTATTTGTTTGTTTATTTATTTTTCTTCTGAGTCTGAGTGGGCCATGTTCCGCATTTCAGTTGTTAAAGTAGCTGCCTTGAGTTGCGGCCGCAAGGTTGTCTGTACTTTTTGCAGTGGCCATTCACAAACTCGGTGGTAGACACCCCGGGTTAGGGAGACTGTCGAGCTGAAGAAGGAGTCCTATTGGTCCTTGTTAGCTGGTGGGATTCCAGAGGCAGCTGAGGAGTACCGGAGGGCCAAGCGGTCCGCAGCCTTGGCTGTTGCTGAGGCAAAAGCTCGGATGTGGGAGGAGACTCTAGGTTGGCTCTGAGGAGATTTTGGCAAACCATCAGGCGGCTCAGGAGGGAAAGCAGCTCTTTACTAACACTGTGTTCAGTGAAGGTGGGGTGCTATTGACCTCAACCAGTGATGTCGTCGGGAGGTGGAAGGAATACTTCTCAGACCATCTCAATCCTGCTGGTACATCTTCCCTGGAGGAAGCTGGAGTGGTGACACAGAGGTTAGAGAAGGTTGGCCTGGGATCAGAAGGTTGCCGGTTGGACTCCCTGTAACGACAAAATCAAAATGTGTGTGGTAAATGGGAAGCACCCATACTTGCCTCCACCATCATTTGCCCCACTGTGGGCCATTGAGCAAGGCCCTTAACCCCCACCATCTGCACACAGAGGGCTGTGGTAGCTCAGTGGTCTGTGGTTGTGTCAGGAAGGACATCTGGCGTAAAAACAATAGGACAAGTCTTTGTGCAAGATAGTTTGCTGTGGCGACCCCTGAAGAAGGGAGCAGCCGAAAGAAGAAGAAAGAAGTATTCCATGGAGGAAGCTGAGTCAGGACTTCAGGGTTTGTCTGTCCATAACTGTGGCTGAGGTAGCTAAAAAGCTCTGTGATGACAGGGCTCCTGGAGTGGATGAGATTCACCCTGATTTCCTTAAAGCTTTGGATGTTGTGGGGCTGTCTTGGTAGACACGCCTTTGCAACGTCGCGTGGACATCGGGGGCAGTGCCACTAGATTGGCAGACTGTGGTGGTGGTTCCCCTCTTTAAAAAGGGGGACCGGAGGGTGTGCTCCAATTATAGGGGTATCACCCTCCTTAGCCTCCCTGGTAAGGTAAATGGAATGGACTGTACTTATATAGCGTCTTTCTATCTGATCAAGATACTCAAAGCGCTTTCCACTACAATCTGTGCCTCATTTACCCATTCATACAGCACTCTACTAGATCTATACAAAGCTAATTGAACAAATCATTTTAAAGAAACTAATCAGAGCTTTAGATCACATTCATACACTGATGGGACACATCGGAGGCGATGAGGGGTTCAGAGTCTTGCCCATGGACACTTAGGCATGTGACTGCTGGTGGATTCAAACCCCCAACTCTTGCATTGGCGGACGACTGCTCTAACCACTCAGCCACAGCTGCCCCCGGTCTATTCAGGGGTACTGGAGAAGTGAGTCTGATTGTTTGTCGAACCTCAGATCCAGGAGGAACAATGTGGGTTCCGTCCTGGCTGTGGAACACTGGATCAGCTCTTTACCCTCACTTGGGTCCTCGAGGGGTCATGGGAGTTTGCCCATCCACGTGTTTTGTGGACTTGGAGAAGACATTCGACCGTGTTCCTCGAGGTACACTGTGGGGGGTGCTCCATGAGTATGTGATTGGGGGCCTGTTGTTACGGGCTGTTCAGTCCGTATACAAATGGTGCGAGAGTTTGGTTCACATTGCCGGTAGTAAGTCGGACCCCTTCAGGGTGGGAGTTGGACTCCACCAGGACTGCCCGTTGTCACAGATTCTGTTCGTAATTTTTATGGACAGAATTTCTCGGTGCAGCCAGGGGGCGGAGAGAGTCCGGTTCTGTGGCCTCAGGATCCGTCTCTGCTCTTTGCAAATGATGTGGTCCTGTTGGCGTCATTGTGCCGTGACCTTCAGCTCTCACTGGAGCCCAGTGCGAAGCAGCTGGGATGAGAATCAGCACCTCAAAATCTGAGGCCATGGTCCTCAGTTGGAAAAGGGTGAATTGCTCTCTTTAGGTTGAGGGCCTCTCCTTGGCATCATTTTTTTTCCTGAGTAACAGTATAGGGTAGTAATGTTACTGTGAGGTTACAGGAGCATTTGAAAATACTTGACCAAAACAAATTTAGAAGGTTTTCTAGGCTTTATAAAAAAATTGTGTTCATTGACTGCACCTAAATAAAAACAGACAAAACTACAAGCTGGACTTCAGAGAAGACATTATTGCACTTGTTCTTTCAGCTGCTGAATCAGATGGATGGATTTGACACACTACACAGAGTCAAGATGATCATGGCCACCAACAGACCCGACACGTTGGACCCTGCTCTGCTGCGGCCCGGCAGACTGGACCGTAAAATCCGTAAGAGTTCTTTATCTCTTCATGTAATTCTCAGTTCTGTGAGAACAGAGACAAGAGAGCATGTTATTTTTTTTTCAGACATCGAGTTACCCAATGAGCAAGCCCGTCTAGACATCCTGAAGATCCACTCCAGTCCCATCACCAAGCACGGAGAAATAGGTCAGTAAGGACCACTGAGATCAGACATTCTTTATATTTCTGCTGAGTCATCATTCAGCTCTGACCCACATTTCATCTGATGGATGTGATCAGTCAGCATCACACTCACAAATGCTCCAGAAGAACCAGTGTTCTATAAAATGGTCTCAGTGGAACAGTCAGTACATGCTGGAACCAGCTGATAGTAAAGTGTCGGTGAACACCCCACAGTCCCAGTTCTCCACTACTGGTGGGTCTGTTTCAGGCCAGGGACATTTCCAAACATCCTCATCATCTAAAATGTATCATGAATGTTCTCCTTATTTTAGAGTTCTGCTCACAGTAATGATGGCAAAATGTCCAGAGACTTGTTAGCCATGTGTTCGAGCTCGCCCCGAGACCAGTGTCTGCACGTTAGAGCTAACACAGATATATAAGTTAGCTTTGATGTTTCTATTTATCTTTTTAGATTTTGAAGCTATTGTGAAACTCTCAGATGGTTTCAATGGAGCTGATCTCAGAAACGTGTGCACAGAAGCAGGTCAGAACTAAATTGAACATAATGGTAATCTTTTTTATTATGAGCAGCTGATGTGTTCTGACCCGTGTCTGTTTTCAGGACTGTTTGCGATCCGCTCCGATCGGGAGTATGTCACTCAGGAGGATTTTATGAAAGCAGTGAGGAAGGTGGGCGACTCCAAAAAGCTGGAGTCCAAGTTGGACTACAAACCCGTATAAACCTCCCCGTTACTGCTCTTTGTTTTTGTTCTGCTTCAAGCCCAGAAACATCCGAGATGACATCGTTCCAGCTGAGAACAAGACTTCAGAACAGAAGTCATTAAACTGTTTCCAGGCTTTAGTCTGACCCATCTCAGTGTTTTTTATCGCTTCAACATGTCTCTTTGTTTAGACGTTCCACAAACCATTAGATCAATTTCATGTAATAAAATGTATCATTACCCCTGAGGATATGCTGCTTCAGTCTGTAGTTCTTTTTTAATTATATATATTTTTTAAAATAACATGACAAATCAAAAGTTTAATCTGAGTAAATGTAACAGTTTAAAGGAAAAATGTTGATTCAAAATTTCACAGTGTCAACAAATCCCAAAAAAATTGGGACAAGTAGCAATAAGTGGCTGGAAAAAGGAAATTGAGCATATAACGAACAGCTGGAAGACCAATTAACACTAATTAGGTCAATTGACAACATGATTGGGTATAAAAAGAGCTTCTCAGAGTGTCAGTGTCTCTCAGAAGCCAAGATGGTAAGAGGATCACCAGTTCTACCATTGTTGCGCAGAAAGATAATGCAGCAATACCAGAATGGTGTTACCCAGCGTAAAATAGCAAAGACTTTTTTAAGTTATCATCATCAACCATGCATAACATCATCAAAAGATTCAGAGAATCTGGAACAATCGCTGTGCGTAAGGGTCAAGGCCGTAAAACTACTGGATGCTCGTGATCTCCGGGCCCTTAAACATCACTGCACCTCAAACAGGAATGCCACTGTCAAAGAAATAACAGAATGGGCTCAGGAATACTTCCAGAAAGCATCGTCAGTGAACACAATCCACCGTGCCATCCGCCGTTGCCAGCGGAAACTCTACAGTGCAAAGAGGAAGCCATTTCTTAACAAGCTCAGACGTTTGCACTGGGCCAGGGGTCATTTAAAATGGAGTGTGGCAAAATGGAAGACTGTTCTGTGGTCAGATGAGTCACGGTTTGAAGTTCTTCATGGAACACTGGGACGCCATGTCATCCTGACCAGAGAGGACAAGGATAGCCCAAGTTATCAACGCTCTGTTCAGAAGCCTGCATCACTGATGGTATGGGTTTGCATGAGCGCTTGTGGCATGGGCAGCTTGCATGTCTGGAAAGGCACCATTAATGCAGAGAACTATGTTCAGGTTCTAGAACAACATATGCTCCCATCTAGACGTCATCTCTTTCAGGGAAGACCCTGCAATTTTCTACACGATAATGCCAGACCACATTCTGCAGCAATCACAACAACATGGCTATCTAGGAGAAGGATCCGGGTACTGAAATGGCCAGCCTGCAGTCCAGATCTTTCACCTATAGAGAACATTTGGTGCATCATAAAGAGGAAGGTGCGACAAAGAAGGCCCAAGACGATTGAACAGTTAGAGGCCTGTATTAGACATGAATGGGAGAGCATTCCTATTTCTAAACTTGAGAAACTGGTCTCCTCTGTCCCCAGACGTCTGTTGAGTGTTGTAAGAAGAAGGGGGGATGCCACACAGTGGTAAAAATGGACTTGTCCCAACTTTTTTGGGATTTGTTGACCCCATGAAATTTGGAAACAACAGATTTTTCTCTTAAAATGATACATTCTCTCAGTTTAAACTTTTGATCTGTGATTTGTGTTCTATTCTGAATAAAATATTAGATGTTGGCACCTCCACATCATTGCATTCAGTTTTTATTCACAATTTTGTCCCAACTTTTTTGGAATCCGGTTTGTAGAAAAACACAAAAGATTATATTCAAAGTCAGGTGACGGGTCATCTTTTTGTGCTGAGACGTTTCACCCTCCATCCAGAAGGCTTTATCAGTCGGAGGAAGCACCAAACAAAACTGATATTCCCCCAACAGCCTACTCCAAAGTGGGGAAAAAAAAGTTATGTTGACGTTATGGCCTCTGGGGCATGCCCTCTCCTCCAGTGCCCACCCTCTCCCTCGTCAAGTCATGTCAATCTGGTTCAAAACACCAAAGTCCATGCTCAATAATCCAGGAATAAAATCCAACAATGTTCAATCAGGTCATCTGGACAGTTTCTTTTTTTGAGCCGAGATGTTTCACCATCCATCCAGAAGGCTTCATCAGTCTGAGGAAACACCAAACAAAACTCATATTCCCCAAACAAAAGGTTGTATATTTTATATATATACAGGTGCTGGTCATAAAATTAGAATATCATGAAAAAGTTAATTTATTTCAGTAATTCCATTCAAAAAGTGAAACTTGTATATTATTAATTCATTACACACAGACTGATATATTTCAAATGTTTATTGCTTTTAATGTTGATGATTATAACTGACAACTAATGAAAACCCCAAATTCAGTATCCCAAAAAATTAGAATATTACATAAGACCAATAAAAAAAGATTTTTAGAAATGTTTACCAACTGAAAAGTATGAGCATGTCCAGCACTCAGTACTCAGGGCTCCTTTTGCCTGGTTTTACTGCAGCAATGCGACGTGGCATGGAGTTGATTACTCTGTGGTACTGCTCAGGTGTTAAGAGAGCCCAGGTTGCTCTGATGGCGGCCTTCAGATCTTCTGAATTGTTGGGTCTGGTGTATCACATCTTCCTTTTCACAATACCCCATAGTTTTTCCATGGGGTTAAGGTCCGGTGAGTTTGTTGGCCAATTAAGAACAGGGATACCATGGTCCTTAAACCAGGTACTGGTAGCTTTGGCACTGTGTGCAGGTGCCAAGTCCTGTTGGAAAATGAAATCTGCATCTCCAAAAAGTTGGTCAGCAGCAGGAAGCATGAAGTGCTCTACAACTTCCTGGTAGAGGCTGCGTTCACCTTGGACCTCAGAAAACACAGTGGACCAACACCAGTAGATGACATGGCACCTCAAACCATCACTGACTGTGGAAACTTGACACTGGACCTCAAGCAACATGGATTCTGTGCCTCTCCTTTCTTCCTCCAGACTCTGGGACCTTGATTTCCAAAGGAAATGCAAAATTTACTTTCACCAGAGAATAACTTTGGACCACTCAGCAGCAATCCCAGATGAGATGCTTCTGACACTGTCTCTTGTTCAAGAGTGGCTTGACACAAGGAATGTGACCGCTGAATGTCTTGCATACGTCTGTGTGTGGTGGTTCTTGCAGCACTGACTCCAGCTTCAGTCCACTTTTTGTGATTTCCCCCACATTTTGGAATGGGTTTTGTTTCACCATTCTCTCCGGGGGTGCGGTTATCCCTATTGCTTGTACACTTTTTCACATTGTTTCCTTCCCTTCACCTCTCCATTAATGCGCTTGACAGTGACACAGCTCGGTGAACAGCCAGCCTCTTTAGCAATGACTTTTTGTGTCTTGCCCTTCTTGTGCAAGGTGTCAATGGTCGTCCTTTGGGCAACTGTCAAGTCAGCAGTCTTCCCCATGATTGTGTAGCCAACAGAACTAGACTGAGACCATTTAAAGGCCTTTGTAGGCGTTTTGAGTTAATTAGCTGATTAGACTGTGGCACCAGGTGTCTTCAATATTGAATCTTTTCACAATATTCTAATTTTATGATATACTGAATTTGGGATTACGTTATTTGTCAGTTATAAACATCTACGTTAAAAGAAATAAACATTTTAAATATATCAGTTTGTGTGTAATGAATGAATATAATATACAAGTTTCACTTTTTGAATGGAGTTACTGAAATGTATAAACGTTTTCATGAAATTCTAATTTTATGACCAGCTCTTGTATATCCGCCTCGCCTATGATATGAATTTGGGACCAAATTTAAATAACTTTAAAGTCTCGAAGAGGTAGTCCCACTCCACCCGGTCAAATGCTTTTTCTGCGTCTAATGAAAGAATGACTTCGGGCTAGGAGTGTACAGCACATCAAGCAGCTGCATAAAATTGAAGAAAGCCTAATGTTTTCTTAAAAAATAAAAATAAAAAAAAACATCCCATGTGCTGCACATGTTGATGTTCTACAGTCTGTCTAATATATTGAATGAATGTGTGTGACATATTTCTTTCTAATCGGTCATAAATGCATGGTCAAAATACACAGGGGTGAGGCTGAAAGTACCTTGCCGCCCCATAGAGACAATGAAGTGTGTTCTGTTAGGGTTGGTTTGGGTTTCCTGAGCTATTCCTTAGTTATGCTGCTATAGGCTTAGACTACTAGAGGACAAATTGACCTAATTTTCTTTAATGAATTGTTAAAATTGAATATCCTGATGCATGCTCAATTAATTAAAATTGAATAGTTTTCATTTAATACTATTTATATCTGTGATTCTCGACCTACCATTGTGTATCTGTTCCTCTCAAACCCAGCCGGTCGAAGCAGATGACCGCTTGTCCTGAGCCTGGTGCTGCTGGAGGTTTCTTCCTCACGAGGGAGTTTTTTTTCTTTCCACTGTCACCTTCATGCTTGCTTAAGATGAAAGTTGTGTGATGGAGTTAAACTCAAAGCAGTCTGCTCCTCAGATAAATAATGTTAAATTATTATTTATATATTATATATATATTAATGTTTCTGTTCAGTGCCCTGAGATGACTTCTGTTGTGAATTGGTGCTATATAAACAAACTGAATTGAAGCACCTCCCTAGTGTCCAGGAAACATCCTTACCAGATGCCTGAACCACCTCAACTGGCTCCTCTCGATGTGGAGGAGCAGCAGTTCTACTCTGAGTCTCTCCTGATAACTGAAATTCTCACCCCATCTCTAAGGGAGAGTCCAGCTACCCTGCAGATGAAACTCAATTCAAGTTCAATTCAGTTTATTTATATAGCGCCAAATCACAACAAAGTTGTCTCAGGGCACTTCACAGGAGACATTCACATACATAAAAGCCAATTAGTAAAGTTCTCTATCTAAGGAATCCAGTAGACAAGTTGAATCTTGGCTTCGTTGCAGTCTCCCATCCTGAGCAAGTACAGAGGCAACAGTGGAAAGGAAAAACTCCCTTTTAAAAGGAAGAAACCTCCAGCAGAACCAGGCTCAGGACAAACGACCATCTGCTTTGACCAACTGGTTTGAGAGGACAGAAGTGCCTGTATCCGTGAACTCATTCTTTCAGTCACTACCCAGAGTTCATGACCATAGGTGAGAGTAGGAATGCAAACTGACCGGTAAAGAGAGAGCTTTGTCTTACAGCTCAGCTCCCTCTTCACCACAATGGACCGGTACAGAGTCCACAATACTGCAGATGCTGCACCAATCTGTCAATTTCACGTTCCATTCTTCCCTCACTTGTGAACAAAACCCATAGTAATAAAAAAACATTTGTTTTCAAGGTTTATTTATAACAAAAACACAGATAAAACAAGGCTAAGCAACTAAACTGCTCAGGGGGGCACAGTTAGTGAAAGCCAAGAGCTCAGGGACCGAACATCCAGCAGTTATTGTCATTAGTTTGTTTTATGGTTCAAAATCTAGTTTTATTTAAAAAAAAGAACCCATTGTTGGGCTGAACTGAGCTCACCAGTGTTGCCTGATTTGGCCCCTGGACTGCTAGTCGAATAGCCAAAAATAGAATTAACTAAATAAAGCAATGTTAGCCAGGGGTACTGCACATATAAAAAGAAAATAAATATAACAGTCTGACTAATATTGTGGACTGTCCAGTGCAGGTGGGGGCTCATCCTGACCTCCACACCAGAGGTGCTATTCTGCAGGAAGTGCCTTTTTCCAACTAATTTATTATATTTTTTCAAATATAAAAAACATAAGACAGATAATTCAGAGATACTTTGGAATGAAAACTGGGTGTGTACAATCATTTTCCTCAAAATTTGACACTTTGAAGCTGCTGGTATGCAAGTAAACATGTCCTATCTGGCAACACTGTAGCTGCAGAAGTTGACTGAGTGAACATGTCTGTTAACCAGCTCTTTATTTATGAATAGTTCAGTGTGAAGTCGGAGCTGCTGCACAGTCGTTTGATTTGTTCAGGTTGTGACAGTAACAGCATCTGGTCCTAAACTACAAGCTCAACAGAAACAAAATGTCAGGAATCATTTTACATTTGAATCATGAAAAACAAAAATAGAAATTAAAATAGAGTGTTCAGGATGTTCTGCCGAGCCAACTCGCATTACTCTCGTTATGTTCAAATTAAACACACTTTTTTAGGAAAAAAAGATTTTATTTTGTGACGCAAAAAGAATAAGACCGACACAGAAACACACATCAGCACATACAGATTCTGCATGAAGATAAATTAGTCTCAAAAGATTTATAAATGCATAAACAACTTTTCAGTTTTTCTTTTTGCGTGAACTGTATTTGAAACAAACACGGTCAGGTTATTCTTCCTCTGCAAAGTCTACCCAAAATTATATTTTTCTAGTAGTTTCTCCACAAGAAGGAAAAAAAACAAAAAAACACAAACACACACACAATACATGTTTGTTTTTTTCCAGATAAATGTCCCACATGATGAATAACCTTATTATTTTAGTTTTCTTAACTGTATAGTCCACAATGAACATTCCTGGAGTCCAGTCACATCAGTGTAAGTAAAAAAAAAAAAAAAAAGTAACATCAGTGGGTTTGTGTTTTCATACAGATGTTTGATAAAGATGTTATGAGCTACTGCACCAAGTTCGAAATTAGTCTTTTCCCAATAACTCAGTAAATCTGGTAAGTTTTGGATGTCCCAGCTTTTTACCAGCCTTGGACGCAGCATCACCTTTGTGACTCTGGAGCAGTAAGAAAGTCAACACAAGCAGCTGGTCCGTGCGCAGCAGGTGTGTGCACGAGTATTTTACAACTTGTGTATTTTGAAATGTGTACATTTGAGAAACTTTATGCACCTGTAAAACTTGTGGTAAGCTTGTGTGACTACGAGACTAATTTATCTTCATATTCATGTGACATCATTCCTTTTATACAAATAAATAAAAACTGGCTTGTTAATGAGCTCACTGTTGTTGTTTTAAACATCATTTTCAAACAAAATAAACAGTGGGATGTAGGTGAACTCTTGGTGCCATGGACAAGCTGAGCTCCTACAGGAGACCGAGTCCAGAGTCCAGCTCGAGCACGAAGGACTCCAGGACGAAGGCCCTGCAGATAGGACAGTGCTGGAAGTGTGTCACACAATGATCACAAACACACGCGTGTCTGCAGGGCAGCAGGACCCGGTTTACTGCTGCATTCTGACAGACCACACAGTCTCTGCCCGCCCTGTCGGACCCATCAACGTCCCCCACCTCTGGACTGCCCTCCAGGCTGCAGGGCCGGTTCGTCTGCTCTGAGTCTGGAGGCTGACATGTGTCCTCACCACCAGCTGACATGAAGAGAGGCTGCAGGCAACAAGAGACAAGTCAACACTCCTTCATCTGAGCTGCTCTTCTTCAGGCCCAACCATTTCTTCAGACATCAGACAGACACATCATCCTTCACCTCTACTACATTCTTTACCACCTCCTCCTTCAGGACCAGCCCTGCTCCATTTTTCTTTCTATCCACACCATGGTAAAACATCTGGAACCCTGCTCCAACCCCTAGGGGATTTAAAGAACTGTTGAGTTCAAACATCAATGCAGACATTTTCCTGTTTTTAGATCTTACACCGTTTTATAATGTAGCATGTTTTTATTTATTTATATAACTTATTTACTTTTCATTTTGTATGCTTTTATATGAATGTTTATTGTGTGTACCACATCTGTGTTCTTTGTTTCAATCAGGTCTCTCTTGTAAATGAGTCCTCGTGACTCAATGAGACTAACCTGTATAAATAAAGGTTGAATGAATGAATGAATTTCAAACCCCGGTCCAGGGGCCTTTCTGGGTGGAGTTTGCATGTTCTCTCCGTGCATGCGTGGGTTTTCTCCGGGTGCTCCGGTTTCCTCCCACAGACCAAAAACATGCATGTTAGGCTGATTGGTAACTCTAAATTGTCCCTAGGTGTGAGTGAGAGAGTGAATGGTTGTTTGTGTTGTTTGTCTCTATGTGTCCCTGTGATGGACTTGCGACCCGTCTAGGGTGTACCCCGCCCCTCGCACAGTGATTGCTGGACATGGGCACCAGCGACCCCCGTGACCCAAAATGGAATAAGCGGGTAAAGATAATGGATGGATGTATGAATGAATTTCCTGCTCAGACTTTACTCCAACGTCTGTCAGTAACCATAGCAACACTATGTTTGACAAGCCTTTTGTTCCTTTGTGTGGTCTGTCATCTTGTGGTCGTGGTCGTACATATTGCAGACAGTCTTACTGTAGTAGTCTTTTGAGTCCCTGAGGTCTGAAGTCTAGTTCTAGTTGATTAATAAATGTTCTACGTTGGTAATTGCTGCCTCAGACTATCTCATGAGGTGTCCTAAAGAGTAAACTTACACAGATGGACTGGAGAACCGAGCTTACAATGAAACCAGACCTTTTACAGCTGCAGACTGGATCTCTGACTGATGAGTCATGAAATGTAAAACCAGTCAGGGACATACAGGTTTCCAGAAGGATTCAAAGTCAGAACAGGAGTTTCATTTTAGATTTGAACTCATGTATAAATCACATGTATGTCCAGCCATTCTGACTGCATTTTCTATCAGATAAACAAGTGGTACATTGATGTCCCCATTGCTGAGGGATTAGAATAGTGCATGTTTGTAGTTTCTTGAGATGAGTGTTTCTCTGGACTGGAATTGAACAGGAAATGCAAGTAAACCTTATGTTTTTGGTGCAAGATATTCAGCCAGCAGAGCAACCTCGTTTTAACATGCGATGTCTCTGTTTCTAATTTGAAAATCGGTGACAATGTTTTTTCAGATCACATGCCTGTATTGTTTGACTTCACCCCCCCTTGTCATACTGCTAAGACGTGCGTTCCTGCATGTACGCGTTCCATTAACCGTTTCACTGCTGCTCGTTTTAATGAAGGTTTTAATTCTGAGAGGATCGAACAGTTCCCGGTGTCTCTTACCACTGAGGAGCTAACCTCTCAGTTCAACTCTGCCTGTTTAAATGTTCTGGACCGTGTTGCTCCCCTTAAGACCAGAAAAACTAAACTTAGATCAGAGCCTTGGCTGAATGACGTCACGCGAGCCGTTAGGCAGCAGTGTCGCAGAGCTGAACGAAGGTGGAGGAAGGACAGGCTGCAGGTTTCTTTTCAAATGTTAAGGGAGAGTTGGCGTCACTATCAGAAAACCGTTAAAGCTGCCAAATGTAAATTCTTCTCTGATTTAATTGTCTCCAACTCCCACAACCCCCGAGTTCTTTTCTCCACCCTGAACTCAGTTCTACACCTCAGTGAGCCTTCACCTCTGGAAGCCTCAACTGAGCTGTGTGAAAACTTCCTCCATTTCTTTTTAGAAAAAGTGGCAAACACCCGGGCACTCATTTCTCCACCAGCTCATGATCTGTCCATCCCATCTCAGTGCGTGGCTGTGTTTGACCACTTTGAGCCCATCTCTCTGTCCTCTCTGGAGCAGGTAATGTGCAGCATGAAGCCATCTGGTTCCCCCTTTGATGTGGTCCCCCCTCGACTACTAAAGGAAGTTTTTCCTACCCTGGGTCCTTTTAGCCTTGCGATTCTGAATAGCAGTTTATCCTCAGGTGTGGTGCCAAAGACTTTTAAACATGCTGCTGTCCAGCCCCTCCTGAAAAAACCTAACCTTGACCCCTCAGTCATGTCCAACTTCCGGCCTCAGATCAGCTGATCTCACAGCTGCCTCTCTTCACACATTCCCCACATAGAACGAACCGGTAACCTCTAAACAGCGTTTTAAATGGCACTGCAATTCAGTAAATATCACAAAGCACTCGTCCGCCACGTCAGCTAAAATTATGTTTTTCAGCAGACCGAGTCCGATAAAATCCCTCGTTTTTCAGCCAGAGCCCGTTTTTAATTTCTGCTGTTTTTTTCTGTCCACTCACAGTACAAAGGGAGTAAACGTGTTTCTCTATGACAGCTGCAACCTCCACCAAAGCGGCGTCTCACTCAGAAAGCGCTCATGCCTCCTCTCAGTGTGCACCGGCTCACCTCAGTTCTATGTGAGACCACAGCCTGGGCTCAGCACAGAGGCACACATACAGCCCTTTATTCTGTCAGAGCAAGTGATGGCAATAAGGATTTTTAGTTTGGTTGACGTTCATGAGTAACATGACACAACACAAATGCGTGCCCGCTCTCCGAGCGTTACTCAGAGTGGTTAGCGAGTGTGTTCCCTGGACAGATGGACGGACCGTCTGATCAGCAGGGGTTACATGCTGCAGTTCGCAGCTCAACCCCCACCGTTCAGAGGAATTATAGAGACGGTTCTGTCTTCTCCAGAACAGAGCTTGTCTCTCCAGTCAGAAGTTCAGGAATTTCTGACGAAAAACAAGATTTCCAGAGCTCCCAACGGAGAGGAAAATACAGGGTTTTTTTCTCCTCCCACTACTTCCTGGTTCTGATAAAAAAAAAACCGGAGGGATGAGACCCATTCTCGACCTGTTCATGTTCAGTAATTCGATCATGGGGAGACAATTCCACATGTTGACAAACAGCTGCTGGAGAACTTCACCAGAACGACTGGTTTTCACCTCCATAGATCTGAAGAGGGCATATTTTCACATTTCCATCATTCTGAAACACCCCACGCACATTCTCGAAATGCATGGAGACGGCTCTGCAGTCGTTACACATGGCAGGAATGAGAATTATTTTTATCTGGATGATCTGCTCTTATTAGCTCGGTCCAGTTAGAAAGCTGTCGCACAGACCAAAACGCCAGTGTTACACCTTCTAAACCTGGGGTTTCTATAAACTGGGAAAAACTTCCGTTCGTCCGTCCCAGATGATTGTTTATCTGGAAGTGGAGCTAAACTCAACTACAACGAGAGCCCGTTTATCACAGCTGAAAGCCGAAGCTCTGTCAGCTCAGCTCCGCCGTGTCAAACCCTACATTATAGTGACAGTTCTGCCTGTCGTGCGACTCCTGGGACGATGTCAGCAGCCCACATCGTGGTTCCGCTGGTCCTACTTCACATGAGATGCCTTCAGAGATGGTCCACCCCCCTGCGCATAGATCCTGTGTGCCAGAAGAGGTGGATTGTCTTTGTGCCCTCCTCCATGGAAACTGATCTGAATCACTGGGGAAACCCTCTCATTCTGTCAGAGGGAGTTCCCATCAGCAGGCCTACGCCACACGTCTCAGTTTTCACAGACGCATTCCTGTCAAGCTGGGAGTAATGTGTCTGTCCCAAGCAGTGGGATCACAGTGGCTGGACCACATGTTGCTTCACATAAAAGTGCTAGAATGTTTTCACGGTCTGAAACGCGACTCAGCATTTTGCCCCTGCTGTGGGATCAGCATTTTCTAATCCACACAGACAACAAGGTGACGGCAGTTTACATAAACCGTCAGAGAGACGTGCGCTCAGCCCAACTGTTACGCATCACGAAACAGCTGTTGTGTTGTACACACAAAAACCTGCTCTCCATCAGAGCAGTGTACATTTCCAGCATCCTGAACAAGCGAGCGAATATCATGTCGAGGGGCGATCCCCGCCACAGAGACTGGAGCCTCCATCCCGAGCTGATTTGTCGGATTTGGAGCAGGTTTGGCCGAGCAGCAGTGGATCTGTCCGCCACACGGGAGAACGTCCAGTGTCAATTATGGTTCTCACTGAGCCCACGAGACGACCCACTGTTAGGAGTGGACGCCTTTGCTCACAGCCTGTGGGCCAAAAATGCTCCTTTATGCGTTCCCTCCAGTCCTGCCGATATCACGGACCCTGGACCGGGTCCAGGAAGAAGAACCGTCAGTCATCCTCGTAGCTCCTGAACGCATATGTGTTCCGTGGTTCCCGAATCTGCAGCGACTGATATTGGGTCGGCCGTGGAAACTGCTGTGGAGGGGCGCTCTCCTCCAGGCAGGAAGAACAATCAGGAGTTACCCAGAAATAGGTCAGCATCTTTGGGTCTGCCCGCCGAACAGATCTGTTTAGAAAAGATGGGCCTCGCACAGGATGTGGTGCGTACGTTCAGGGCGCACGAGCTGCTTCCACCACAACGCTGTACACATCAAGTGGACAGTTTTTCAGCGCTGGTGCGCAGAAAAAAGGCGTGGAGGCCATCTCATGGCTACTAGGTGGCATGCTGTCCTTTCTGCAGCAGCTAATGGACAGAGATCTAGCGTTCAGCACAATTAAAACTTATGCTGCGGTTTTACTTAAATTTCTGTCATTTAAAACAGCCCTGCTGTTAGTTCTGACGTCGGCAAAGAGAGTGAGTGATTATCTGCTCTCTCTGTTGCTCCCTCATGTCTCAGAATTCAAGCTGACGGCAGTTCAGCTGTACTGCGTTTTAACCCTGCTCTGAAAAGCATCACAAGCTCATTCAGATCGAGAGTGATAACCTTGGATGGGTTTTATCCTCTTCCTCATAATTCTGAGGAGGAAGCAACATCTCACCTCCTTCTGTCCCATGCATGCATTTTTCATGTTATGTGGCGCACACGGCTGCACTGCGCTGCTTTCAGCTTATGTTTGAGCATTACTGGGACAGCTCTTCAGGACGTCCTCTATCCACCCAGCGCCTCTCACACTGGTTGTGTGAGGCTATTTCTGTAGTTTACAGTTCATCTGGACTGGATCCTCCAGAGAATCTCAGCGCATTCCACCAGAGGGTTTTCATCCTCCATGGCTCTGCATGGAGGGAAGACCGTGGAGGATATTTGTATGGCGGCTGCCTGGTCATCACCATGTTCAATTATTCGTTTTTATCTACGTGATGTTTCTACTTTCTCCATGACCCATTCTGTTCTCAGAGTTCTGACAGAATGATTATTTGTTTCATGCAGCCTCACTTTTGAGCTCACACCTGCCTGCATGCAGTCGCAGTGTGAGATATTTATTATCAGTCACGAGTTGATGACTGCTGATTTTACCGTTATTAATCGGTTCACCTTGAGGAGCTGTTGGTCTGCTCTGTTTATTGTTACACTGTTACAATTCGTATCCTCCGTTGTTCTTATGCACAGCAGCAGGTCTGCTATCTCAGCCTTTTTTCCTCACCAGAGATCTTTCTCAGGTGCGCTCCTGCGCAGGGAACACGCAGTTATGCAGTGCGTAATTATGCACACAGAAGGCTGAGTGATGAATTTTTTTTTGTGCAAGCAGGTGCTTCAAGTTGTGTCTGAGTGGACCCAGTGAGGCATAGACTACATCCTGCTTCGCCTTTAACCCACTAGCGATAGCCTTAAAGGGCGAAGCCTATACGAAATATAACGTTGGTTACGTACTGTAACCCCAGATTCTATGAGTATAGGCGCAGCCCTTTAAGCTCTGGGCCTCACTGGTTCCTAAATGGCTGAAGAAAAAAGCTATTTGGGAGCCGATTACCCGGTCTCACCGTAATTTATATGGACTGGGGACGAGGCCTACACAGTAGGTGGGCGTGGACTAAAGCTTTCAGTGCTGCACTGCGCGCGTAGGTATAAACCCACTAGCGACAGCCTTAAAGGGCTGCGCCTATACTCATAGAATCTGGGGTTACAGTACGTAACCAACGTTTATTCAATCCCTAATATATATACACACATATATGTACAGTATGTATATACAGTATATATGTATGTTTTTATTAACAGAGCTGAGTATTTTCACACTGCCCATGAATCATAAGTTTGGGTTCGCACGGATAGCTTGATGAGGAGCTGAGGCTGCAGTATGTAGCTGGCACTCCAAAGACACCTCCATGTTCTGTGAGTTCTGCTGAACTGATAAGGGTATAAAAACAAGCTGTGAAGGCAGGTCGAGGCAGATTCTCGTGATGTCTTCATGTGCGTACTTTATGTATAATTACGTAACCTGTCCTGAAAATCTGACCTTACTGGTGAAAAATCTTCTCCTGCCATCAGGTGTGGTTCTTTTAGGCAAGATAAAGCGAGAATATTTTTCTCCAACACCGGGCTTGAAGACAAGATGTTTCCTCAGTTACATACCTTTAATTCAAACATGTTTCTTTGTGAGGTGAGAAGGTACTGAAAGAGAATCCGTGCAGAAAGGTTGTATTTTTCATCAGGAACATGAAAAACTGTCACATTTGCCACCTGGAATAAAAAACACAAATTGATGAGTTGTGTTTATACTAGATCTTCACTGACTCTCAGGGAATATTTTGACATTAAAACACACACAAACCAAGAAAAACTAAACTAGTGAGCAGAATTCAGTAACTCCTTTGTAGCTCAGATATGTAAGAACAACTTGCACAGCATTTTTTTTTTTTAATTTATCAATAATTAAACTCACAATGTTGTAAAGGTTTCTGGTTTCTTCTGTTGCTAGAGTCAGCACAGCCACGAGAGGGTAACGATCCCTTGGTAAATGTCCAAAATCTGTGATCTGGTGTTCAGCAGGGATATGCGTTAGGACGCCCTCTCTGTCCTCTTTACAGATACTGACAGACTGAGGTTAAAGAGACCAGCAGGAGAAGCTGCTTTATCAAACAAGAGAAGAAATGTCCTCAACTCTGTCAGAACACAGATACATTATCTTCCACGTGAACAATATCACTAAAATTAGAAACATCTTATCCCGAAATTATGCGGAAAAACTGTTGCTACATGAATTTATCACTTCTAGACAGGACTATGTTAATATTATTTGGGTACCCAAATAAAAAAAAAAAGTTTTCAGTTGATCATAAATGCTGCTGCCTGAGTTTTAATGAGAGTTGATAAGAGAGATCATCTCTCTCCAGTTTTAGTTTCTCTCCATTGGCTCCCTGTCAAATCCAGAAGAGAATTCAAAATCTTACTTCTAAACTACAAAGCCTCCAACAACCTAGCTCCATCATATTGTTCCATATTTTCCTAAGAGAGCATTTAGCTTGCAGATTGCAGGTTTACTTGTGGTTCCTAGAGATTCCAAAAGCAGAATGGGAGGAAGATCTGTCAGTTATCAGGCTCCTCTCTTGTGGAACCAACTTCCAGTTTCTGTCCGTGAGGCTGACACATTGTCTACTTTAAGATTAGGCTCAAGTCTTTCCTTTTTGATAAATCCTATAGTTACGTAGGTAGATTGGGTTTCCTGAGATATTCCTTAGTTATGCATCTATAGGCTTAGACTGCTAGGGGACAAACTGACCACATTTCCTCACTCTGCTGTTGTCTTTACTTGCTCTACCTCACTTGTTTTCATTTGTAATTATTTCTATCCTTAACATATCCTGATGCATGCTCAATAATCCAGGTAGAAAAATCCAAAAAAGTTCAATCTGGTCCTCTGGACATTCAAAAAAACAAAAAACAAAACAAAGCAAAAAAAAATAAATAAATAAATGTAGAAACGTTTCGTCTCTCATCCAAGAGACTTCTTCAGTCTGAGCTGCTGTTTTCAGCTCAGTCTCTTAAATAGCACCTTTTTCAGAGTGGATCAACCAGTTTTGCTGCTGACAACCAAAACCAGCTGA